GGGACAGGCTCCGTAACGCTCCGGTGCTGCAGAGGACGTTGTTTTACATCTCCTGACTTGTGTAGCTGTGGGAGAGTTCACTACGGGTGATCAAAAAGCCAAAGCAAACGAAAAGGGAGTTTGTCTGTCGGGTCGTCTCTTCGGGCCCCGCAGTGCCCTGACCTGCAGTCCTGCCCCCGTGGGTGACAGTCACTCACATGGTGTTTGTGACCTCTTTATTGGCTTTTAGTGCTGAGTCAAAACCGCAGTCACGTTTGAGTTCTGAACATCTGCAGTGTTGAGCAACACCAGCACTGTTCGGAGCTCCAGAGTCACGGGATGGTTTGGGTTGGGAGGGACCTTAAAGCCCATCCAGTGGCACCCCTACCACGGGCAGGGACACCTTCCATTGTCCCAGGCTGCTCCGAGCCCGTCCAGCCTGGCTTGGAGCATTCCAGGGTGGGAATGTTTCAGTGCCGTTGCAGGGCTCTGCTCTGTGCTTGCTCTGCACTCCCTGAGCTGGTTCCTCTGTGCCTCCTCCCACTCACCCAGGGCAGGTCTGAGGCGCACCGGGGGAGTTTCTCAGCCCGAGCAGCAGGACAGATCCGGGGTTGTGGTGTTGGCAGGGACAGGGGGACAGCAGCAGAGTCTTTATCTGAAGGTTAAGTGGTGCTGCCCTTCATCAGTGCGCAGCCAGAACCGTCAGTGTGGGAAATGTGGGAAGGGAATAAATAAAGCCAATAACCCTCCTGGATGTTGTATCTCCAGCTTCGTGTGGGAGAACGCAGAAGATGATGGTTTGCAAGAAAACAAGTCAAAACTCCTGGCTCTTGGACAAAGTCATGGACTGTTTGTCTATGAACTCTCTGTAGAAGATGGAAAGTCCAGCCTAACCTCCCTGCACAGTTGTGAGGAAGAGACACTTAAAAAGCTCCTTGAAGTTAAAAGCATTAGTGAGTAAATTCCAGTGTGTTCCATGTGTGAAATTGTTGCTGGTCTGGTTCTGTGCTGGGACAAATGCAGGCAGTGGGATTGAGCACTAGGGAAGTGTCAGGTTCTTCCACTCTAATTTAGAGTGATCAGCAGGATTAATGGACTGGAAAATTAAAAGGGACATTTCTATGTTCAGAGGTGACATTGGTAGAGGGAATTAAACTGTTGTAGGGTCATGAGTTTGGGTGATATGAAATTAAAAATAAATTTTAATAAAGCATGTTCAAGCAACCCTGCCCTCTCAAATTTCCCTTTTAATATTGGAACTGATGGTAAGAAAACAGAGACAGGACTCCTCACTAACCCAGCAGAGAATGATTAAGTGTTTAACCTTATGTATTATGATTAGCAAACATAGTGTACAGTTACACTTTGCAGGACCTTTGGTGTTTTACATGTTCTTAAACAGTCTACCTTCCTAAAATATTTTTATTTCCAAAGTTTGTAGCTTTTATTTTCAGTGCTGACTGAAATATTATTTTGGGATGATTTTTTGTGTTCTTCACAGTATTGTCCACTTAAAAAACCACAAAAAAAGTTTTAGGAAACTGTTCTAAAATCAGTGACATAGAGAGTGAGATTTAAAACAAACCCCCCTCCCCAAAACCATTTTTTTTAAGATGGTAGCAGAGAGAATGAATTTGAGCTGTCATTTTCTTGGGGTTCCTTTGCAAATCCAAATTCCCAGCTGTCTGTGATCCTAAAACATGTTTAAATTTACAGGTCTACCTTCAGTTTTCTCTGTGAAGATTCTGTCTTTCGGAAACAACAAGTGCAAACTTCTGCTCAACCAGTTCATCCTTGTGCATCTGACCTTTCCTGGGGAAGACTCACCCTCAGAGACCTGTGACTGCTTCACCTTGGATTTGCCTCCAGAGGTTTTGGGGAGAATAACAGATTCCTGCTTCTGCAGAGGGATCCTGTTCCTGTTGGATAGTGCTGGCTGGATTTGTATCCTTTGCAGGAGAGAGGAGCTCTCAGGGGAAATGATCGGGAAGAACAAAGTTGTTTTTCTTTTCTGGCAGGGTTGAGCAGAAAGTTCTTTAAAGACATTTAAGTATCTGTTTTGAAGATGCCTCCAAAAAGGGTTATGTAGCAAAATCTTGGTTATTGTAGTGAAAATGCCATAGTTGTGTATCAAATGTTTCTCAGCACAGCCCTGGAAATCTGTTTCCCACTGGATTAATGTTTTCCAGTGGTTCTGCTCTGTGGGTCTGTGTATAATGCACTGACATCTACTGCCAGCTAGTTCCTTGAGTAAAGTTAGAAACTCCAGAGACACACAGGGAGTCACAGCTGGGGAGCCAGATGTGTGTGTTGTGCTGGGCAGGGGCTCAGACCTGGCTGTTCCACGAGCTTCCAATTCCCCTGTGCTTGGCCATTGCCTCTGACACCTGTAACAGTGCAGGGAGCTCAGGGTACCTTTGCCTGGCCATTTTACCCCTGTAGCAGTGCAGGGAGCTCAGGGTACCTTTGCCTGGCCATTTTACCCCTGTAGCAGTGCAGGGAGCTCAGGGTACCTTTGCCTGGCCATTTTACCCCTGTAGCAGTGCAGGGAGCTCAGGGTACCTTTGCCTGGCCATTTTACCCCTGTAGCAGTGCAGGGAGCTCAGGGTACCTTTTCCTCCCCACAGAATGCCAGGACAGGTCACTCCAAGGATCACTTGACTCCTTTGAGGTGGCACAAGTGGCATGTTTGTGCAGCACAATCCTCTGCTGATCCCAGCTGAGCTTGGAATGCTCTTGGAAAACAAACACTCCTCATGTTCTGTGGGGCAGAGCTTGGCCTG